GGGAGAATGTGGTGTGTATGAGTGAAAAGTGTTGACAGGACGACACCCTCCATCCGACCCAGCTTTTCCTCGGTACGCTCAGTAGTGGACTAGACTCATTTACCTCTCTGACGATGAATCAGAAGAAGAGGAGCTCCAGTTAACGCTACCTTTCAGCGTCTCCATAGGATGGCTGTGACTCGTCCGAAGTAGTGACGATATCCCGTCTGACACAAGTTCACCTCAGCCAGTGGACCTCACATGAGTGGGGTTCGTCCGAGTTCCACTCAGAGGTGAAGATGTTATAATCCCATAAAACTCGGAAGAGCTCTATCATGTCAGGGTTTTCCTGTTTCCCAGCCAGACTCCAACAGAACTTCACAGAACTCACAGAACTGAGAACTGGGCACATCACAGAACTGCCACTTCACCGAACTCCGAACATCTCAGAACTGCTACCACACAGAACTGGGAGAACTAGGAAGTACCGACATTTTAAAGGGCTCTATTTCTGGTATATTTGAGAGTTCCTGATTGGTCAATATCAACCAGACAGGGGTGTGTTTTGTGATGTAAGAGGTTACTAGAAGTCAGAAAACAGCAAGAATGTTATTGGAACAGATTGAAAATGTTCCCAGACAGGCGAGAGAAATGTTTGGGCGAGTTTGGAGAAACAGGTGCCAACTCCTCTGTTTACGTCTGAGAGGATGTAAAACAACGACCATTCGTTCCAACAACTTGTCTGCTTCGACTCCTGACCTTGGAAAACGTACACTGCTCATTCAAAGACAGAAATCAGAAAATGCATAATTACTCTGTAACAGGCCTTAACATGAATTCTAACTTTGCATAAGCAACTCAAAAATCATTGTTACTGTTTTACAGTTAATAAAATTGATTAGTTCACTGTAACATCTAAAATGTTTGAACTAAAACACTTTGATTATCAAACATTTGTAAAACAGGAATGATAATAGAAAAGAGAGTGTTCTTTCACTTGAATTTTCAAGAAAGAAAGTCTCAGGATGGGTGAACCTGTATTTCTGGATTCAAATCAATGAAATGACAGTTTCTGTCCCACAAGGTTCTTAAGGTCAAGGGTTTTGACCTTAGGCTTAGTTTTGACATCAGGTCAAGTTCACTACATATGAAAATGAAGAGTTAACACCTAAGACAAAACAGGTATTTTTTTTGTTTGTTTTTTTAAGCTTGCTCTTTACGTTCAGTTTATTGTCACTTTTTTGTTTCACCTGCACAGAAAATCATCGAAGAAGTGGAGGAGATGTTGAACAACTTGGCGGGCGTGTCGTCTGTCCATGGTCGGTTTTATGACCTCTCTAGCAGATATTATCGCATCATCGGGAACCATTCCTCCTACTACAAGGATGCCCTGCGGTACCTGGGCTGTGTGGACATTAAAGACCTTCTAGGTGAGAAACACCTCATTGGGACAAACATGTTTCTTCCACACATCAGAAGATAAAAACATTGCTTTTTACACCCCAGAGACCGAGATGCAAGAGCGGGCTTTTACACTTGGACTGGCTGGACTCTTAGGAGAAGGAGTTTACAATTTTGGAGAACTGGTGGGATTGAACACTTAATCAAGTTGTCAATCTTGCATTGATGCTGGTGATGAGCACATGTGTTGTTTGTGTCTGCAGCTAATGCATCCTGTCCTGGAGTCTCTGAGGAACACAGACAAGCAGTGGCTTATTGATACTCTTTATGCTTTTAACGCTGGGAACGTGGAGAAGTTTCAAGGCTTTAAATCAGCCTGGGGTCAACAGGTCAACTGTACACCACAAACACAACAGCAATGTTTCTTTATTACAAGCTGCTACACTTTAGGGACAGCTGTGGCTGAGTGGTTAGAGCAGTCGTCCTCCAAGAGTTGTGGGTTCGATTCCACTGTCACATGCCGTAGTGTCCCTGTGCAAGACACTGAACACCTCATTGCCTCCGATGTGTGTCCCATCAGTGTATGAATGTGATAAAGCACCGATTATTCTTTGTATAGATAATGTAGAGTGCTGTATGAATGGGTAAATGAGGGCACAGATTGTAGTGTAAAGTGCTTTGAGTATCTCGATAAGATAGAAAGGCACTATATACAGTGAGGAAAATATGTATTTGAACACCCTGCGACTTTGTAAGTTCTCCCACTTAGAAATCATGGAGGGGTCTGAAATGTTCATCTTAGGTGCATGTCCACTGTGAGAGACATAATCTAAAAAAACAAAATCCGGAAATCACAATGTAAGATTTTTTTAAATAATTTATTTGTGTGTTACTGCTGCAAATAAGTATTTGAACACCTGTGAAAATCAATGTTAATATTTGGTACAGTAGCCTTTGTTTGCAGTTACAGAGGTCAAACGTTTCCTGTAGTTTGTCACCAGGTCTGCACACACTGCAGCAGGATTTTGGCCCATTCCTCCACACAGATCTTCTCTAGATCAGCCAAGTTTCTGGGCTGTCACTGAGAAACACAGAGTTTAAGCTCCCTCCACAAAGATTTTCTATAGGGTTTAGGTCTGGAAACTGGCTAGGCCACTCCAGAACCTTGATATGCTTCTTACGGAGCCACTCCTTGGTTCTCCTGGCTGTGTGCTTCGGGTCATTGTCATGTTGGAAGACCCAGCCACGACTCATCTTCAATGTTTTAACTGCGGGAAGGAGGTTTTTCCCCAAAATCTCTCAGTACGTGGCCCCGGTCATCCTCTCCGTAATACAGTGAAGTCGTCTTGTCCCATGTGCAGAAAAACACCCCCAAAGCATGATGCTTCCACTCCCATGCTTCACAGTAGGAATGGTGTTTTTGGGATGGTACTCATCATTCTTTGTCCTCTAAACATGGCGAGTGGAATTAAGAACAAAAAGTTCTATTTTGGTCTCATCTGACCACATAATTTTCTCCCATGACTCCTCTGGATCATCCAAATGGTCATGGGCAAACTTAAGATGGGCGTGGACGTGTAACTTCTGTAGTGAACTCGGCCTCCGGTCAAACCTACCTCTGAAGACCTTCATGGGACAGGAACTGTTATTTCATTGATTTGAATCTAGAAATACAAATTAGCTCATCCAGAGACTTTCTAATTCTATCTTGAACTAATCAATTGAAAGAACACTCTCTTTTTTATATTATCATTACTATTTTACAATATCTTGATAATCAAAAGTGTGTTTAGTTCATACCATTTTAAATGTTGAAGTGAACCACTCATTTTAAATCAACTGTGAAACAGTATTAATGATTTTTAATCTTCATTCAAAGTAGAAATCAAGTTAAATGTCTGTTACAAAGTAATTATGCATTTTTGATTTTCTGTCTGAAATGAGAGAGTGATGTCGGTCAAGTCGGAGACAGTCAAAAACAAGTTTATTGGAACGTACTGTCTTGTTTTTAAACCTCTCAGACAGTAACAAGAGAACTGACACCTGTAGTTTTTCTCTCTTCGTCAAAACATTTCTCTGTCTATTCCTAAACATCTCCGTTGTTTTTCTGACTTGTAATAACCCTCTGACGTCACTAAAACCACAACCCTGTTGGTTCTTTCAACCAATCAGGACTTCCCAAAAGTGACCGGAAGCAAAACTCTTTAAAAGTCGACACTTCCTAGTTCCAGTTCGAAAAGTTCAGTGCCTGGAGAAAGTTCTGAAGTGCTGGAGTTAGTTGGGAGTTCTTCAGAGTCTAGTCGGGATTATGGAGCCTTCCACATCTGAGTGGAACCTCTGATGGACTCACAGCTCATGTGAGTCCACCTGGCGAATGCCCTATAACTTCTGAGGAAGTTTGTTCTGTGGAACGGATTATCTCACGGCTTCTGCCGAGTCGCAGCCGCCCTGAGGAGACGCTGAAAGGTAGCGTGCCAGGGACCTCTTGACCGCAGCGGACCCATCCTCTGCCAAGGTAAAGAGTCATCACGAGCTTCACTACCAGTGTACCGCGGGCGAACTGCGCTTGAAATGAGCGTGTTGTTCTGGTCTACAGACATACATCCTCATCCATCCATTTTCTCTCCATTTAAACTCCTTCATTTCCCATCTTCAAACTTCTATCTTGCCAGTAAATCCAGATATCTTCAGAAATGTCTGTTGTTTTTATTAAGTAAAACGTGCCAAGTTTTATTAATCAGAGCCGATTGCATAATCAAGTGTACAATGTTTTGATGTTAAATTTTGATTCTGTTAATAAATGACCACATTCATTTTGATGGGTCAAAGAAAATTAACGTCTCATGTCACTGATTAGACTATCTCCAACACAGTACCTCTGTCACATATCTGTCAAGTAGCTCGAAAAAGTGAGAACCCGTTATTAAAAATTGACTGTAGTGGAGCTCTTAAGCTAACTGAAGCTAACCTAGCCTTAGCATACTACACTTCCGTGCCATGCATGATTTTAAACTATGACGTCTTAGTGTATTACCCACAGTAACCTTGGAAACTGGTGCCAGCTCTCTTCAGGTCATTGACCAGCTCCTCCCGTGTAGTTCTGGGCTGATTCCTCACCTTTCTTAGGATCATTGATATGCCACAAGGCGAGATCTTGCATGAAGCCCCAGTCCGAGGGAGAGTGACAGTCATGTTTAGCTTCTTCCATTTTTTTTTTTTTTGAGCTCAGTTTAAGTGTAGAAACATTGTGAAGTGTTTCAATGAACTTATCATCATCGCTCAATTTTTTTTTTTGTTAAAGAAAGAGAAGAAAGAAGAATATATAAATAAATAAATAAATAAATAAAAGAGAAATGGATAAAACGAGAGACCACCATGACAAAACAACATGCACAGCACAATGCCACCCACAATATCACCATGAAACATTCGACATCGCACAAGGAATCATCTAGCTTCCACCACTACCCAACCTAGCGTGCATCTGTCAACGCACCTGAATCCAAACACCCACGCAAGCACGCCCGCCACCACCAGATTTCTCCAAAAGAATGCCCAATAGTGGACGCGGGAGCCTACAGACCCGCCCCCCCAGGACACAATGGCAACATAGGGAGGACCGGAGCCACAGACACACAGCAGCCCGGAGCCCCAGGAGTCTCCTAACAGGGAGAACCCCCCCCCCCCCCCCCAGAGAGGAGCAGAGGAAAGAACCGGGTGACCCCAGCCACCACAATGCAGAGCCTCCAGGAAGCTGCAGCGACGAGCCTACAGGTCCGGCCGGCAACCCATGCCCCCCCCAAATAGATCCGGCCATGGACACCGAGCCCCAAGCCCTGAGGCCATACCACCCCCCAGCAGAGCCCCGACAGAACTAGGGCACCCAGGCCCCACCAGGCAGCATCCAGGGCGGACCGACGTGCACCCCACCACCCAGCCCACACGCCGAGAGCCACCAATGCACCGGCGGCAAGGGGGTCCCCCGCCAAAGGGGGGCACGACCGGGGGGAGTGGGCCCCACACCAAACGTGGGGCCCAAATTGATCCAAGAGAGGGGGGACCACCAAAAACCCAACCTGAGCAACCAACAGGCACACACAGATAGCCCAACAGAATCTCTGTCGGGCCGACCGCATGCACCATCTACCTGACAGCGACCACAGGCCAGCCCCAGCCCAAGGGTTAGAGCAGCAGGGAGCCGCAGCTGAGTAGGGCCGGCTCTCACATCAAGAGCTCCGCACCATAGGCCCGGAGACGCCCCAGCACGCCACCTATGCACCCCCACACACACACAGCACCCCCACCACAAATGCCACACAGGAAGACCAGCCAGTGCCCTGATGAGGCGAAGCCACACCCCCAACCCCCGCCCTACACCACCAATGACCACGCGTCCACTACCATAGCCGACCCCCCGCCGAAAGCCGGCAGCCACCCTGGTCAAAGTGCCGGCCATCACAACCAGGAACCTAGATTAAAAGAATCGGAACAGCCCAGGAGGAACCGAAGCACCGGCCCCATCACTAACCGCCCCCAAGGCCCAAAGCCCACCCACAGCCCAGACCCCAACAATGCGCGCGCCCCCCCCTCCATCCCCAACCCCTAGTGTCACACGGAGAAAGGAGGTGTTTGTGAAAGGGAAAAAAAAAAAAAAATCTATAGCTTCTTCCATTTTTTAACAATTGCTCCAACAGTTGATCTTTTTTCACCAATCTGCTTGGCAATTGCCAAGTAGCCCTTTCCAGTCTTGTGGAGGTCTACAATTTTGTCTCTGGTGTCTTTGGACAGCTCTTTGGTCTTAGCCATGTTAGTAGTTGGAGTCTTACTGATTGTGTGGGGTGGACAGGTGTCTTTATGCAGCTAACGACCTTCAAACATTTGCTTCTAATTTAGAATAATAAGTGGAGTGGAGGTGGACTTTTTAGAGGCGGACTAACAGGTCTTTGAGGTCCAGAATTGTTGCTGATTGGCAGCTGTTCAAATACTTATTTGCAGCACTAACACACAAATAAATTATTTAAAAAATCTTACATTGTGATTTCCGTTTTTTTTTTTGTTTTTTTTGTTTTTTTAGATTATGTCTCTCACAGTGGACATGCACCTAAAATGAAAATTTCAGACCCCTCCATGATTTCTAAGTGGGAGAACTTGCAAAGTCGTTGGGTGTTCAAATACTTATTTTCCTCACTGTAAGTACAGTCCATTTACCAGTTACCATTTTACACTTTCTTGTAATATTTAAAATTGGTCGATAAACAGTTTTCTGGATTTATTCCACTGAATTATTATGGGTGGGGTTTTTTTTGTCTTTGTTTGGCTGGTTTTTTTTACTCTGGCTGCTTTTTCACTTAGTTTCAGTCCAATCTTTGTATTTAATCATTTAGCATCG